AAGTTTAGCTAGGAAAAAATTTCATAAATTAAACACAAGTGTATCAGGAAAGAATTTTTAAATGCCCTCAGCAAGTGGGGCAAAGATCAAATAAATCCATCATAGTCCTGTGGTCTATAAAGCGGAAAACACATTGAATATGTCAGTTGAGCTATGGAATCCATTAAACATTCTGAATGGAAAAAGCAAGGTACGGATCTAACATAGAGTTAGTAAAACGTCAATGCCCCCTGCCTTTCATAGACTTGAGAGAATGAGAGAAAAATTGTCCTTTAGAACCTGTAAACTCAATTGGAGGGATGCACCAGAGTGTTCTAAGGCAGATACTCACTCCGAAGCTCATGCTGCAGAGTGACCAAGAGGCTCGATAGAAGCTGGAGCACAGCTGGATCAAAGTGAACAGGAAGCAAGCAAGCAAGCAAGCAAGCAGATAAACAGTAGAAGCAACTAGAAACAGTCCTCGATATTCTTCAGTCCCTTCTCTACTCTGCTGCCCTGTGTCTAAAGATCCGAGCTACCAGCTCTCTGGGAGTCATCTGATCCTAGCCAGGGCAGCTAAGAAAGGAAACGAATGTTAGAGTCCTAGGTTTCAAGGTGAGGTGTGACTGTGACTGCATGGCATAATCCTTTAAAAAGTTGTGCCTGTAGACAAGAGACTACAGAATGAGACTTTGGTCTGCTGTACAAAAAGTATACAACTCGCCAAGATTACAGAGGCAGGACACACAATTGTTTTTGGTCAGAAATACCTATTCACACAAATATGAAAGTATGATATAGAAGAAATGCTTTTCCCACTCTGGAAATCAAACTTGTAAAACACGGAGGAAATGCCATAACCGTATCATTGCCTATGATCTCTTGTTGCTTATTCATTCAGGTGTTGGTAGCTGTTGTGGACACTTTCTTCAATAGCTTTAGCCTTCTCTGTGTTATTTACAGGCGAAAGAAAGAGGCTTGCAAGAATGTTCTGATGAACACGTATAGCAAGAAGTGCTACTATGACTTGGAGTATTGGAAAAATATTTCACTGTACTGTACCACATTTTTTTTTTGTCTTTTTGAGACAGGGTCTCCCTGTAGCCCAGTTGTCCTGGAACTCACTGTGTAGACCAGGCTGGCCTTGAACTCACAGAGATCTGCCTGCCTCTGCCTCCCTAGTGCTGGGATTAAAGGTGTGCACCACCACAGTTTTATATCAAAACTATACCTAGGAGACTGCACTTACCTTCCCACCTATCTATTTGACTATAAATTTGAGAAACACATTTCTGTGATTGAAAACAAGATTCCCCTTTCTGTGTTTCTTTCTGTGTGCCCATGTGATAACCAAGGTTTGGGGGATTACTTAGGAGCTCTGTCATTCACTGTTGCTCATTAATATAAACAGCACTTCCATAAGATGATGCAAGGCAAAAACCCTCTGGGGAAGTGACATCTAGATGAAGTTAGACTCAGTGGCTTCTGGAGCTCATGTGTCTTACTCTTGAAAAATGAAGCTAGAAGCTCATCTTCATGACTGTCCTTTATATATATTTGCTCCATGTCGATTATAAAATGAAGTTTACACATTATTTAGGAAAACTGATTTATTTTATAATGTATCATAGAGTATTAAAATATATTCCAGGGCAAAATAATTTGATCCTCAGATGCTCTCATGTAAAAAGAAGGTTTTATAATATATATATTGCAGATGAGGAAAGAAACTATGTAGAATGGAAAGTATGTAGTATGGACATGAACATCTCTCAATGGAGTGTACTAGGCTGGCTATTAACAGAGTTTTATTTGTACATTGATGAAAAATTTCTTATGGTTAGTCAGTTTGGTTTCAGAACTGAACTTATCACTTATATGCAGTCTTGAAAAAGTCATTAAAATGCTTCAGTTTCCTCATCTGTACAATGGGTAGCAACAATAGCAACAACAAATAGTATTAGCAGTACCTGTGTTCATAGAATCACTAATGTGACCCAAAACAGATTACATGTGATACAGAATGAATGGTCTTTGTCAGTGACATTTGACATACTTTCAGAGTAACCATAACATTGGAAATACCATATTGTAGAAAAATAAATATGAAAGCAAAGTACACCCCTGCTCTTGTAACAATCCATCCATTATTATTTAATGTCTTATTTCTCCACTGTTGTTTTGAATCTACCATATCCCATCTGTATTCAACTTAGTAAACATACTGTCTGCGGAATCTTCAATTCACAATTTCTCAACAAACATTAAGATTATCTCTGTTGAGTAAAAGGCAAACTCCTCTGAATAAGCATCTAATATGCTCAGAAACCACAGTATCAACCCCAACCTACCCTTAAAACTGTATTTTCCATGACCCTTCATCTATTCCTACATTCATCCAACTGAAATAAAACCATCCAATTATCTGCCATCATCACACTAGACATATCCGTTTCCCAGTACCTCTACTAGATACTTGTCTTGTTCAAGATCTGCTTAGAAAGCCTACTCTTCAAGAGCTCTTCTGATCCTCCTAGAAAAAATAAGTCCTCATATTTCTGCTTCTTATTTATTGGTTACAAAACAACATCTGTATTGTATTTACTTGAAAATCAAATATGATTTATATTCCATAGAATATGGGCTAGGAGCCAAGGTAGTCTAATTAGGTTTTCAAGGGGAATAACATGGTAAAAATGTGAGCAGACATTTCTTCTGTGATTCCTCTAAGCACCAATTCATCAATTTCCAGCATTTATGATTTTCTCCAAAGTACTAAGGAATGTGGATTGCACAAACTCAAAAAATACCCAGTCATACTAATACAAAAATCAACTCAAGGGAGAGTAAATAAAGAGTACAAATTTTATAACAAGATACGAAAGGAATTTTTTTATTTAAAATAAGGTACACATCATAATTTCTGATCAACTTCAGTTTTTTTCTGGGTCTGTGATTAGTAACAGAGCATCCTGAAACACTTTTTTGAAAAATGAACAACTAAAGTGGCATGCCTTTGTATTTGGAGAGAGGGCTCAGGATTGGGAAAGAATTTGCTGACTGCACAATTATTCAGGGGAGAAATCTGCCTGCATGATCACACTGGACTAGAAGTAAGGAACTTTTCTAAATTCCACAAGTAAATGACAGAAGTACATTGAAGGTTGCGTTTATTTATTGTTTCCTGCCATGAGGAATTGAAGGCATGTTAAGACAACAGTTACCTTTTTAAGAAAACACTAGGAAAGACAGAATGTGATACTGCAAGGAAAAATTGTGAATTGTTATTTGTTTGCCTTTGTCACTGATTTACTTGACTAACATAATTTAGTTTAACAATTTTTAGTAAATCCAAATTCATTAACAAAACTAACCATAATCATTATAATTTAACAAGGTGCTTTGAATTATTGAACTGGGTTACTGATAAAAACACAGATTTGGTTGTTTTACCCATACATTTTTCTATCTCTTCCAGTCTTTAAAGGAGACATGGGAGATACTAACTAAACAGATAAGAGGGTAGCAATTAACTCAAGATCCATTTATCTGATTCCTTGATCTGTTTAATGACTTCTTAGCTCCATATATCCCATCACATTTTGATAAGCAAACGTGATTTAATGGAGAGTATGTGTTGCAAATAAACTTTCTGTTCATTAGACAAAGAAGAAATGCACTGTTTAAATAATATTAATTTAGGAAACAAAAAGTTTAAAGGATTCATTTATTGAAATTCCTTTCCAGAAGTGGGACCTACTATCGTTAATTTTAATGATTGAAATATGCAAAATTCATGAAAATAAGTTATCATTTATTCCCTCATCAAACCACCAATGCATTATTTGCTGTTATATTAATAAAGGTGATGGAAATCAGGGTCACATTATTCTCTTTATTGTGATATTTTGAAATCAGGGAAAACCCATTCATAGACTAAAATAAAATATGCAAAACTGTAATGTGAGGAAACCTGACTTCTTCTGGGAAAAAATATAAAAGAAGCTGATGCGGGAACTCGGAGGAAGAGTCACATAATATAATGTCAAAGACCAAGCTTCAAACACTAGGAGTCAGGACTTTTGAAATCATTTTGATGCTGTGAAATATTTTAACAGGACAGAAATGATGTAAAAGAGCCAGCATCTTCATGACAGGGTGGCTTTTCATTAAAGACCTAGAACATCGATATCCAATTACATTTATGTATGGGAAGATCAAATCTCATGTGTCTTTTACAAAATGATGCATAAAATTGACATGTGTGTAAAACCAAGTACAGAAAAATTGTCAGGACACCAACCTTGAATTAAGGAACCACAGTGCTCATGAACAGAAGAGCAAAGCTTAACTCAGGGCTCTGCAGGTACAGCACATAAACATGAGAGGCTACCAAGATTCTGAAATGAATCAAGTATGAAATCAGAATGAGCAATTTCACTAGATTTACAGAATGGACTTACTTCCTGCACTGTTGGAGAAAATATCTTAATGAAATAATATAGCTCTTAGGTTAGCATATTTGAATGCACTGTATGAATGAAAGGTTTTTCTTGTTATATTTTTTTTTTGCCAGTTTTAAACCTCTCCTTTGTATTACCAGCATCACCCACCTCTGAAGGCTGGACAAAGGTTGATACTCAAGTAGTAAAGTCTAATGTGGCCAATTAATAGCAATTTATGATACATTGATATGTTTCCATGTTGGCTTTTAAATAGGCACCTGTAGGGAGCTCCCCAAAATACCATGTAGTGTTGCATCCTTGCATCCCAAGCCTGAGTACACAACATTCTTACTAAGGACAGTGACCATTCTTACTAAGGACAGACACCAGGGCTCTGTGCAGCTCCATCAGCAAATTTCTCTTGGATTAGTCAGTGCCTACAGATTAGTCAGTGCCTACAGATTAATTACCATCAGCCTTGAGAAAAACTAGTCTTCATTTGAAATATATATATATATATATATATATATATAATGTTTTCCATGTAGTTATCATGTATCAAATATATGTGAGCCATTTGTCCTTATCATTGCACATAATTCAATGTGGTGTCAAACAGAAGTATCCATTAAGTGAATATGTGGTAAAATGCATCTTAAGCAGAAAACAAGCAGATCAGTAGCTTTTTGTATACCTGGAAAAACGGGGAAACCTTGACATCCTAAAAATTGCTACATGACAGATGAATGGGGATCCATTCACTCAGTTTGTCTTCTTGTCTTCCTTGTTATAAATAAAACAAGTCTTGACATATATATCATGTTTTTAAGGTTATTCATTCAAAGGAGACAATGCCTTGTGAGAATTCCTAAAGAGATGAAATAATGTGAAATACAGCTAATTAAAAAAATATGGATAATCATTTAAAAATAGTCTTTGGGATCCAACTTTGAATTAATGGGCATAACATTAAGTATGGTAATAAATAAATAAGCTAGCCAAATAAGAGTGGTTTATATAAATATGTATCATTAAAATGAAAAAATATTATTCATCGTGTCAGAACAATAATTTGTTGTTGCTACTTCAATATGTAAGAGAATGACTTCCTATCAGGGATGTATGATGATGGTTATCCATTTGGAGTTTTTAGCTGCAGGCTAAAATTGTAGACCATATTTCTTTGCTACTGAGGTTCAGGACTATTTATTCTTGAGAATTCAGTTATTTTGATGATGCAAGCAGATCAACAGCAATTATATTTTTTAAAGTTAATTTTCTGAGAACACACATTCAATATTTTTAAACTATCTGCTCAATATTTGTGGAGTGCCTATACCATTCAACAGACCTTCTTTGCATTATATGGATTTTAATCTTACTGTATGAAACTCGGGACTATTAAACTTCCAGGTACCATATGTGTGTTTAGTTAAAGAGTAAGTCTAAATGGTGTAGTTTAGTCATAAAATAGTTTGTGATTTTGAAGCACTTACAAAGACTCTTCTAAAAGGAGAGCCTATTCATAATATGTTAGAAATAAAAAATTTGGGGAAGTATGTTTCAATATTAAAGAACACCCTGAACATCCTGTAATATACCAGGTGGGAAGAGTTGATACAAATAAATCATGTGCTCATGTATCTCGAGTTTTTCCTCATTCCAAAAGAAGAAAACATTCCTCTTAACTCAAATTAGGAAATTATCATACACTTTATATATATTTATATAAAAGTTACAATTAGCAAGCATATAACACAAAGAAATGGAAGAGTAACAGCAATATTTGAGAATGCATGCTTTTTACAATGTGTCTAATAAAGAGGGCATTTTTCCAACCCAAGTATCCAGTACTGACATGCAGGGTATTTTCTCAAACTGTCAATTCACTCATATTGCTAAGTGCTTAATCAAACAAATTCTATTGTAGAGTGTGAATGGTAAAATACCGGATTTCAAAAAAAAAAAAAAAATTCTAAACTCGGTATCTTCCCTTGACATGAAACAAAAAGGAAATCAGGGGGACATAGAAAAGACCAAAAATGCAAAATAAAGAGGGAGGGATTTGTCTTATTGCAATCTAGTTTTTACTCATTACATTTTACTGCATTTAATCATAATAAAATAACAGGTGTTTATAGTCCATTGAACCTCTAGCTGGTGTTTCCATGATCCACATTTCGACTTTTCACTGCAGCATGTTCAAAATCACCCAGGAACGCACTATTCTCAAGCAGTCTATATAATGGAAACAATGTACATGTAACACAAGGTTCACCCAAAGTTGTGATTTCTTTTTTTTTCTCACAGATCACACATGGTACAATTATGTAACAAAGACATAAACAACATAGAAACAAAAGTGAACTGACAGTAAAAATAAAGCTGGGGTATTGATAGTCTTAATCAGGAACTAATTTCTTCTTCAAGTTTCCGTAAATCTCAGAATGTATTTAAAACCTAAGGAGCACTTGGTGATCAGCAACCAAATTACGAAATGGACACATCATTGTGCAGCAGCAGGGATGTCTTGCCGAAAGGAATAACATATGTCTGTAACTCTTAAGTTTGGATAAAGGCAGTGGAATGGATTTAGAAATAGGTCCACTTTTCACAATTCACTATAGAATTTTCTTTTCACAGTCCCCATGTTTGTATAAATAGTTCTTCTCTGAAAATAAAACACAGTTAAGACATTTTCTCCCAGTGAAAAAAATGAATACAAAATACTAACTTATTAAAGTAATCTAGAGCATGAAATCATTCTCTTAATTCAAGAACATTTGATAGGCTTGAAGATTTTTGATATTAACTGTGAAGCAAATTTAATTGTAAATGAATTAGACTGATATAAACATAGACTATCAAGTGAAAATGTAAAGCCCCTGAGATATCTTGTGACATTTGTGGACAATGAAGTTTACAGGGTCTTTATGTTGTCATGCATCCAAATTTTATTTCATAAAATTTGATCCACATGCTTCATTTAATTTTAATGACAGAAACTACTTACTCATGCAAAAATAAGACAGCATAACATTGTATGAGAACCAAAAAATACTTTGTGCTTCAGTTTAAATAAAATGTAGTCTAATTTTATCAGTAACTGTCACTTATATATATATATACAATTACAGTTATACTAATAATGAATATTGTTTTCCTTTATTTGGTACAACCTGGGTTTCTTGTGCTACCCCTGGGAAGAGAGTACACTGCTCTTCATAACTTTGTTTTAAAATGTGTTAATTTTAAATGCTTTTAATTAATGTGTTAATTTTTCCTCCATGAAAATCCCTTGTAATTATATTGAAGAACCTGCTTGATTGAAGAATATTAAAATTTATTTTGAAGCTATGAACCCTAAGAATGATTGCTCCATTAGCACTGTATCCACAATATTTCTAAAGATGAAATGGCATGAAACTCATATCCTAAGAAATAATGAATAAATATCACATTTCCTGAAGAACTACAAGACAATAGCAACAAAACAGAACAAAACAAAATACAACAAAGTAGGAGAAAGAGCCGAGGGCTTTTGCTTACCTGGAATTTCCGATTTAGACCCTAGTTGTGTTGTATTCAGATTCATGTTTGCTTAGAGACCCAATGAGGCAGAACCTGGAATGTTATGGCTATTTCATTCAACAAAGTAATATTTGCCCAAGATATAAATATATATAGACGTAGTTACTTAAGAAGCATACCTAAAATTTATAAAATCATGGTAATACCTGTATCCAATCAGCATGCAAAACATATTAAATCAACTTAAGTATTTTACAATTCATCAATACAGTATGGAAATCTATGTAGTAAGGTAAAGTCTAGTAAGCATGAAAAATACAACCTAAGTCGACTTGATACTGAAATTTCAAAAATAGAACGTTACTAAATTTTAATCTTGTTCAAAGATTTCTATGCATTTTAGGATTATCAGCATATATAATACAGATAATATTACATATATATGTCTAAAAGTAAACAAACAAAATGTTTCTACTAATTTTTGCTATATTCAAATGTAAATTTTCATTGTTTTAGCATTCCATGTTATAAAACATGGAATATATATATAAAACATTTCTGTTCTGTGTGTGCATGTGTGTTCACACCCACACACATTCCATGCACATATATGGGATTTAAAATGGGCAGCCTAAAACTAAAAGGAAAGAAGGAAAACGTGGAGTCTGTGGCTTAAACTTTTACTTGAAGGGGGAAATGAATATGAAGATAGACTAGAACACAATGATGTGCGAACATTTTGGTCTTCAGTTACGGTTGTCATAAAACAATCTATGGATACTGACCGCTGGACGGATTTTTCATGTCGGGACAGCCTGTGGCTCGTGGTGGGCACCTCCTCGATCTCATCGATGTCACAGGCATCTGCGGCATCTTGTGAGTAGTTGTGTTTCATGACAAGAATGTTCCTTCTGTTCACAGGTGGGATGAGGGGCTTGACTGGCTGCGTGGGCATCTCTGCCAAGATGGAAGCGTCCCTTGTGCTGAGGTTACTGCGACTGCCTTTTGCGCTGGACAGTTGTGATCCACAGTGATGGTCGTGAATGCATTTGGAAGATGACCTCCGCAGTTTATGGTAATTTTCAAAGTCATCTGCCACATCTGCAAAGTCAGCTGTAGCTCCGGTCCCTCTGAGAGTGCATAACTCATAGTGAGGAGGTTCAAACACCTCCTGGAAAACGGTCTGGTCAAAGTCTGATTTCCTTTGGACGTATTTTTTACGAGGCTGTTTGATCTGTACAATGACAGAAATGATAATAAGGATGATCACAATGCAGGAAGTCACGCCAATGACTGTCCCACTGGTGTTGGTCAGCTGATCCAGCAGGCTGGTTTTCCTCTTTTCTGTAGGTAGGAGAGAGTGAAAACAACAGACAGACAAGAGGAGAAACAACCCACCACGAGTTAATATCACCGTCAAAATGCCGATTCAAAACTTTCAAATGAAATAGACTGAACACAGAATTTTCACAGAAGTAAGCATAGCACAAGACAATGCTTCAAAATAAAAATTCTCTATTTTCACAAAGGCTCTATTTTCAAGCCTTAAAAATAACCCTTGTATAATCTTTTACTCATTATAAACTCTATAAGACATAAAATTAAATGAGGTTTTAACGTTTAAAAAAGATCTCCACTTCGTTGTTAAAA